TCAATTTGAGTCCCAGGGCCGCTCGTCTTTCTTAACCGTCGGGGCCTTGGCGCGAAGAAAAAGAGACTGAAGACACATGATTCTTGAGTTCATTGACTAATTTATCCTCAGAAATGTAAGGTGATCAAACTATTTACACATAGTCTTGTTAATTGTAATTTGTAACATCTGGGAATATGGAATGTAAAATTTACTTCTTTGCTGTGAGAGTTCGCTCACAAGGATTTCATCTCCTTATAGCCCAGCGCCGTGGAGGCGTAGTGCCCTGTTTTTGTCTCCGGATCGAGCGGTCTGCGTTCGAGTCCTAGCCGGAGACATTGTGTTGTGTTCTTGGAGAAGACACTTTACTACGATGGGTTAGCATCCCATCCAGGGTAAGTAGAAATACTCCTAGTCGCTTCATGCTACAGAAACCGGGATAAGCTCCGGCCTGATGGGCTACTTGGTTCGTATGCAGACTCTACCTTACCTATCTATAACCCAACGCTGCATTTTGAGTCACTTTAAATCAAAATTTCCTTTATCGAGAAAAATAAGATACCAAAAATTAGTCAATACGGTAAAGGGACCTCAAAGGCCAATATACAAAGAGCTACCCAACAAAAGCTCTTCTTATTGATTTCTTGTTTTGTTTTGTTTTGTTGTTGCTGCTTTTTTTGTCTGATAGAGAAAAGGTATTTTGACCAACTTCCAAAAGGTTTAAGGCTGCCACATTTTGCCACATTGTCAAACACTTGAGAAGGCGGGGATAATCGAAAAGGTTTTCTACGGGGAGGCTCCTCCCCGAAGTCCAACCCTTATCCTTTTGTATTCGATTTTGACTCATGAAAAGGAAACCCTTTCGTGTACCTTTCATTGAAAAAGGTAGCCCTTTCACATACCTACTTAAGAACATTGCATCTCTTTTCTAAATTAATGATGTAGAGCTTAATAAATTAGATGATACAGCGGTGCACCTGTGCGTCTGTTCGAAATATTTTAATTTACATTCCTTTTAATACCTAAATGACATTTCCCCCCACCCTTTCATATACCTCAACTTGCAAAATATAGCTTTAACGTTGTTTAAATATACTGTAAATAAAGTTTCCGATCAAATCGGGCCGACCAAAGTGGATCTGCTTGAACAGACTCAAAAATTTTTGTCTGTGGGCTAAATTGGCTAAATTGGAATACAGTTCCTGGAGTTTTGCGCCCTCCCGCTTCGTAGGATTCTTCTTCAATGATGCGATTTACGTTTCTTAACTGTCATTTGCGTAACATGAAGAGTTTGTCCTCAAGATCAGGATTTTTCGCGGTGGATTCCACACTGTTGAAACTTATAATCTGGTGTTATCAAGAGCTTTAAAGGCTTGCAAGACCATGGTGTTCTTGGAGATTTTTTCGGCAAATGCTACCTCTCATTTGCATATCATTTGCGTAGTCTGACCACCCACTACAACTCGTCACTTGCTATCGCAATACACGAGTTAATAACAATAACTTACCTTTTAGGTGATTTATTTATAATACGAGCCAGTCACAACAGTTACAAATTACGGCAGCGTTCTTAGGTATTTGAATGGGGTACCTTTTCTCAATAAAGGTATAAGAAAGGGGTTTCAAAAGGGGTGGGGGTTGGACCTCGAGGCAGAGCCTTCCCGTTAAAACCGAGAACCCAGAGTCACTCTGGGAAGGTACGACGGGACACTGAACAACTTCGCCTGAGAACTCAGAAGGAAAACCACGTGGGAACGCACGGGTTACCTCACCAGCGGAGGCCTGGGAAAAAAGCCACTGGCGGCCCAATGGGATTGTGGGACGGACACAAGGAAAGTCAGGGAGAGGGACACCAGAAGACGCAAAGAGAACGCGCGATTTATCGTACTAAGAAACACACACGGAAAGCAGGCTCATACACGGGCACACTAGGAAAGGAATCAGGTAACATAGGAAAGACGCGTCTCTCCGCGATATTGCTGGTTTTCAGTGTCACGCCATTCAAAATAGATCAAAATAAAAATCAAGACCGTTCAATAGATAAAGTCCAGAATCTGGGAAATGAAAGAAGGCAAATATGCAAAGACTCTCGCCGAGATTCTGGTCACAGCAATATTTCTTATGAAAGATATGCGGAGAAATTTTTTACCCAAATTTAAAGAGATATGTATGGAGACGCCATGCTGGTGTCCATCCGTATGGGCACCAACATGGCGGCCGGAAACGAACAGAAACATCTGTCACTGAGTTTTACTACAAAAGCGTGAATTTATCCTTCGAGGAACTCTAAAACATTAAAATAATACTTTTTCTAAGACATGAACTGTTCAGATAGCCAAATTCCCCGAAATAAGTCACTTTTTTAACCATCATGACAGCTCTCTAGGCCGTGATATAAATGCCGCGTCACGCAAAAGCTTTGAAATTCAAGCGTGATTTGATTTTGACCATAACCCTAAGTGGGTATAGGGCCAGGAAATTCAAGCGTAGTGTATCACAAAACCAAGAACCCATTCGGAGCGAAAATTTGTATGAATATTAGTTTTCAGCTGCTCTTATATATCACTAGAGTAAAATCTCAGGAAGATCAATAGTTCTGTAGTTTGAATTTTACTGACGTTATGTGAAAACCAGCTATTGGAAGTGAAGAAAAACAGCAAAACATGTTAAGTGTTGAAAATTTATTTACAAATCACTGTTGAGCATTGCACAGAGAACCAAATTGCTTCTTAAGGAGGCACGACAATAATTAACATTCAATAAAGTGACTTAGTCTCTAGTCTCCACTCCAAACCACTCAGAGAGTCCGCGCACGAGTACAGTTACACGCCGTAAAGATTGTTCTGGTAGACAAGATCGCAGAATTGTATTTTGAAACCAAATGCACGATGCCGTCATGCAATAGAAGCTTCACTAAAATCTTCTTGAAAATTGTTATCAGATTCCAAATTTGATAAGCTTGGAAGCTTGAATTGTGTAATAATATTTTCCAGTGTTTTTTTTTTATATATTTCCTTGTGTACTTCAACGATCACAGCTCGCGAGCGGCACTGACTCTCTGGGGTGGTTATTAAGAGAGTGATGTCCGTAACATTTGTTTACAGTAAGAGAAACAACCTGGCTAAAACCGCAATGCAAAAATTTTAGTTCCAGTGTTTTTGTAAGCTGTACTGTCTACCGATTTTTTTTAAATAGCAGTGAATGGCGAAGGCGCCATTTTCAAGAGATAAACAAAAACTCTATTACATGTGTTGAGACAGCAAAGTCTCATAATAAAGATTATTTCAAAAGTGGGATAAAAACGTATATTTCATTACTTTCCATACTTTGGCAAACACGATCAGGGCAAAATATACGTACCTCATATAATATTACTGATAATTTTTTGTCATAATTATTTGTCTATTGAACTTCGATACAGTTCTGATTGTGAATCAGCTATGACGACCTTCTAATTCTATTGGGCTGCTCCAAGTTCTCGACACTGCAGTCAACTAGAAAGCAATATATTTTTAGATTTATCCTAACACTTAAATACATACCTTCGCGAAGCGTAACAGAATATTTCCCAGTGTTAAACAAATTGCTTTACAAATACAAATGACAAGGACAGCATAGTTTCAAATTGTACAAGAAAATTATAGCAAGTCACAGCGTATAAAGAAGCGTCATTATGGCCCGCTGAGCTTTGCTTAAAATCACATCAAGCACATAACCTTTCAAGATATCAACTTCCAAATTAACTTCCTAAATTCTTAACAGGGAATTTTTAGTAATGGCAAAAATGTTAATATTACGAAATTGGCTCGAAAATTAGAAGGCACACGACTAAATGCCAATTAAAGACCAATTATTCCCGTACCACCATCCTCACTTAATTAAAATTTCAGACGCATTTTCGCACGGTATCCGAAAATTCGTTCATGTTTGTCGCTACCTCTCTTAAAAGCTTTCAAACTTCTTCCTTTTCCTTTCGACAAGCTTTTTAACTTTTAATCTTTGATCTCTACCATACAATCTCGAAAAATGTTTTGGTTTCAAAACAATTACTCAAAAGTGCGAAATTCTGGTGTCGCTCTTCCCGAATCGCGAAATAAAGTTGACGCGAAAATTTACTGCAATACGATAAGTTGGAGAGTTTCTCTCTGGTGATTAATACACTATTTCTCACTAAGCGTTGGCTTGCTCAACATCGATATTAAGAGGAGAATTTAGATTTTGATATCTTGTGATGGCAGAACAGACATACAAACTTACTATTGAAAAATTATTGAAAAGTAGTGAAAACAAACAAAAAAACTTAGCTGTCCATGAAATGAATAATTTAACACTGAGGAAATTGTTTCACCCCCTGATCAGATTCAAAAAGCTTTCATTTCTCGCCTCGTCTGTACAAATATATCTGTACAATGCCATTCTGCGATAACCTACGTTTGGCAATCTCTTTAAAAATAACTTTATCTGCTAGCGCTAAGTTAAATAGAACTGCTATACAACAAAAACCTCCAAGAAATAACTAGCGCACAGACTTATGGAGGTTCATAATTTTAAACTTACATCAGAGTAAAAATATCTCACCCGTGCAGCTATGGAATATTACCAGAGCGACTGAATTCACAACCATTTACGAAAAAGCAAATCAAAAGGACTTATCTACTCTACCTGTTACGGAAAAACATTTACAACGTCTTATTAACAGGCAAATGAGTAATTAGACCCAGTGCCTTGCGCATCTAGAACAGCTTAAATTAACTTCTAAAGTGGAACAGAATTTGGCGATGGCTAAATTTGCTACAAAACTGAACCTTTGGCAGCACAAAAGAGAAGTACCCTTTGCCCAATCGTTCTCTTCAGCTCAAAACTTACTTACTCACTATATTCTCTACTTATAAAAAAACGCTGTTGTCACAAGTAAAGGCTATGTTACATAACAAAGAAGTGCAAATTCTCATTGTAAGTAGGTAGGAACCACATTGCTTTCTTAAAACAATATAAAATAGTTAACAATAAAGTGGCTCTGAGCCATACTTGTGTCTTTTGTCACTAGATAATTACTTTTCCCGACTACTGTTCTACGATTGTGTACAATTCTTTTCCGGGCAAGGGGAGAAAGAAGACTGGCTTTGTGAAGTGTGCTAGATGGCTTGCACTTTAACACTAGTACTGCAGTATGCTTTAAAAAATCGGAACCACGTTATCCAGGCTAGTGAGTTATTAAAAGGGTTCACTGATTACAGAAAGGTTTATTTAACTAGCCAACTGCAAGAACGAAGAGAATTACTTGTGCCAAAATTGCCACCTATTTGTCGCCTCTTGCACTTCACAAATTCTAGTGTTCTCCAACAGTTTTGCCACTGTCGCAGTTTAGCAAAACACCCGTCCAGCAAGAAACCTTCTGCAAGCTGTTTGGAACGCGAAACATTTACTTGGAGAAGTAAGAATGATAGGTCAAGCATTATTATATAAAAGCCTAGTGCCTGCATATGTAGTTTTCTTAACAATACGGAACACCGACAAGAAGAGGCAAGAGAAGTGCTTGCATTAGCAACGATGGCTCTACGACTTCCACCCGTTATTAGTTGACAGAAAAAGTTCTGTAACTTCATCCACATAACACGTTCAGCTAGTCCTACCCATTCCACCATCGATTAAATTTCTTGGATTCCTAACTACGATTTTGACACAAACCTTCAGCTTGACTGGTTTCTAATCCCGCGCGCAATGCAGTCGGTTCTCTAGATCCTCTAGTTTCTAGTCCATAAACTATTAACAAATGGGTAAAAATACTTAGCAGTCCTTGTGTAGGGTGATGCACTCTTCGTGTAAGCTTATTCCATTTGTCTTCTCCAAAGCAAATCCGCAGCTGAGTATGATAGTTGCCTTGCCATTACATAATACATTGTACATCTCGACCCAGGCTCCCTCAAGGGATACCCGGCAACGTAACACTTTCACTGTACACTTCAATGTTAACTCCGTGAGTTTTTGGATTTGTCTGTACTGTGAAATGTCTCAATTCTCTTCACTACCTTGTTTCTCCCCAATGGCCATGAATACATAGACTAGCCTCACATGCAATGCATCTTGGGTAGTAAATTCTGTCCAATTGAACTCGGGCAAAATAGAGTTGCTTTGTAATGCAACGCTACATATGTCACAGGTAAACACTGGGCCGTTCATTTGAGTCCACGGTGTGATACTGCTGACTTGATGGAGAAGGCTGGACTGTCGGCAGCCTGCTGCCTGGTTGGTTTGGAGGATGTGTTGCTCTCCAGTAACTCTCGAGGAATTCTCCTAGGTGATCACAAGCGTCATCAAGCTGTGCTTCATCCAAGACAAGATCATAAGAATCCTTTGTGAAAAAAACAATTTTCACATGTTAGTTTACGCCATTTGTCTCCATATACTATGCCTTTACACTTAGTGTCAGAGCACAAAATTGACAAAACAAAGTAAAATCTGAAAAATTGCACGAAAGCACTGCTAAAGAGCTTGTCACACACTGGCAAACTCAAAAGTTAAAACCATCTTGTACAGCATAATAAACAGTACCAAATGAAAGTACTGCTCAGTAGCTTTCATTTGAATGGTCACAGACTAGGGTACACTACATGAAGAGTCATTTAAAGATGGTCCAGCATACTCACGTCACCGCATTGTGCTAATTTTTCTGCCGCCACCAACTGAACGTTGAGATTCCTAGACTGTGACTTGCCACGTGTTTTTATTAGCCTTTGTAAGACCTGCGAAAACGACAACAAATATCTTACTGATTTTTCATCTGAGACATGAACATAGGGTGATCTCCCTTTAGTTGGAGATATCCTCCTTTCCTCAAGAAAACAACTGGAGATTGGATCACTTGGAAGGGGAATATTTCAAGACACTTAATTTTAACGAATTTGGAGAATTCGTTCAACATTTCATTTATTAAAAAAGCCACTTTCGTTTATGCGAAATCAAATTTTTGCAATGTTAAAAGGATCGCGCTAAAACGCACAGGAATTTCAATCCGGATCCCTTAAAAGAGCCCAGTCACGTTATTTTGAGTTATTTTGCCCACGTACAAGACTACCTTTAAATTGAAGGAATCATGAAAATAGTAGTTTACTAAGATAGCAAAACACCAAAGAGATAATAATAAACCATAAAGGAACAAGGATGGCTAAGGATGGAGAAGATTAAAACGGATTACAACGGCGAACTTGAAAAAATTAGCAAGGCTAAACTTTCAAGATAAGCAAACCGTAACGTAGCTCTTTTAATCTACGTCACATGAGTCCGTTGACCATCTTCATCAGCGGCGTAGGTGAACTGCAAAATCAGACTTTCATAAAATTGCAAAACTATAGGAATACAGGTACCAAGACAGCAATTACCTTGAGTGAATTGATTTTGATGTAGACAAGCAGAGGAGCTAAAGACGTCTTGAAGAGTTGAGTTGGATGGTTGACACTTTCACAGTCTAACACTACCAAGTTCAGCCCTCGAGCCAATTCAAATATCCGCTCAATCTCTAGCTGTACTTCAGCTGTAAAGAATGTACGGTACATAACATGCATTAGACTGGTTACTGAAATGTTATAAGATTGTGAACATCACTTCATTGTGATTGGCTAAGAGCAGTGCAAATTAACGCGCGCACGTTCGTAATTTTCTCAGGCATACAACAAATGAGCAGTCGTATGGAAGTTCGAGCATTTAAAAACAAGTGCAATTTGAAAGAACTTTCAAATATCACGAGTAAAAAAAGTTAATCCTTAATTGGACTCACATAACTCGTGTTTATATGATTACATTCATACAATATTAACATCCTGTGACGAGAGTTTTCTTCTTTCTGGAGGGAAAGCAATGTTAGTTCACAGAATACAATTAAGAACTGAAGGAGAAAAAGAAATCCATACCAAGTCCTGATTTAGTATTTGATTTTTCTATTATTGGTCTCTTGCTGGGATTCGAAAGAGTTGACCTTTTCGCCAAAGTTATGTCAGCATTAACACGCGATATTGTTATCCTGTAAAACAAAAAAAATATCATGAGTTTGTTTGTTCGAAATGATACCACGTGTAACCTACTACAGTACACAGCTTAACAAGACTTATTTGCACTCGAAACAATGCAACAAATGCTAGTGAAAGACATCAATCTCGTCCCCAGAGTCCGCGCGTTTTCGGTCAGTGGTGACCAAACGCGAAACAGCTCTGGGCGAAGTATCGGACGAAATCAAAAACCGGAAGCAGAAACTCTGGTACGGATTGTACGCATGCGTTTGAGTTCAGTGATGGTTTCTGCATAAGCTGTGAGTAATGCTGGCTCACCTTCCGAATTCTCCCAGAGGGCTGGATAACTTGGTGTTATCCAAAACAACTTACCTTCCAGAAAACTTGTGTTTCATATAATCAAACAAAGCCTTCTGCATCATATCCGTGACCTATCAAGACACAAAGAAAATTAACAGTTTAAACTATGTTATAGAGTAAAGAAGTTTTCCTCTGCAATTTCAATTCAAATTTCTCCATTTGAATTAAAGCTTCATCATTAGGGAGAATTCCAAGGAAAGTTACATGCACTGTATAAGTCACAAACAGCACTATGGTTTACAAACGCAATGAAAGTTGTACAGGCATGAAGTAATAACTACTTTGAGGAAAAAATGCTTAATGCTGAAGGTTTAGTTCACCGGTCTTCAACTTTAACCAAGTTTAAGTATATGGTCTGTACTCAAGTCACATGAAAAAGGGGACGTTTATGTAAGGTCAAGTAAATTTAAGGCACCATAGGGGTTTAAACTGTCGTTGGAATTGAGGAAAATGCAGACCTCATAACCCTTTAGAGAAGGTCCAAGTAACACAATGGGCCTCATTGAGGGTACAACATCATAAGGTGAGAATTGTTCTTGTTGCTGAAAAAAAAAGAAACATAATGAACATTAGAAAAACAGAACAATACAAGAGGGACCACAATCTGACAAATGTTTAGTGGGAAAATAAAATCTCTGGTTTACAAGATCACCTTGAAAAGAAACTTAATTTAACAGTATAGATTTAGATTTTGACCATAACCCTAAGTGGGTATAGGGCCAGAAATTTAACAGTATACATGTACTAAATCCCTTTAAGTGCATAAATGTGGAATTTTCAGTCTCTAATATTTAAAATGTCAATGTGTACCTTTATTTTTTACAAAATAGAGCCAAATCCTTAACTTAAGCTGACAGCACAGTGATTTGTAACTATTACCATGATACCAACATTTTAAAACAGTATTACATTCAAGGTACCTTTTTGAAGAATGGCTTTTTGGATTTTCCACTCTGTGTTCCTTGGGAGGAGACCGTCGTTCCTGACACTGACCTTGGCAAGGATTTGTTAGTTGGACTTGACGGGCTTTGTTCATCGTCGTAATCCAGACCATTTTCATTGTCAACTATCATAAATGGAAACGACACATTAATGTACAGTAACATAGAAATGAATGACAAGATAACCAAAGACGGTCACTCTTACAACTTGTGTGCCAGGTGTTACAGTGCAAAATTGTCTGAAGTTTATCCCCTGGCCAACCATGTTTTTTTGTAAATGTAAGTCAACAATCTGAAGTAGGAAAGTTGTCTTGCCTAAGATAACAAAGCAGTACAATGAGATTGTCAATTTGTACCTGTCACACTGAAGGATAAATTTGTCTGTTAGTCGAGCATTCTTACTACATGTAGTCCAGAGGTTTCATTAATGTTTACAGCAGGGTGGCAACTGCTTTTCACGGGCAGGCAAAACTATTTGAACTGAACTTCTTTCTAAGAAAAACTTTCCACTAGAAGGTCAAACAAGGCTGGCAAAATCGTTCTTGCAGCCCGTCAATTTGCCTCGTATCTGGCCCTTAATGAAAATCCTGGTAGTTGCTCTAAATTAGTCAAAAATACAATATAAATAGTTACTACTTACTTTGTCCTGATGTTGATGACTGCCTGGAGGGTGATGTATTTGTTGGAGATTGTGCTTGATTCATCATTCCCTCAAACTGAAAGACACTACCAGACCTACTAAAAAGATACCACAAACAAAACAAAAATCACAAAAATTGTATTCATATTATTTCAAATATCTTTAAAAAATAATAATAATAAAGACTTGTAAACTTCACATAACAACAACAATGTTCAACATCAACAGGATAGAATTACCACTCTTACCTTGTAGCTGTTTTACTTCCTTTTCCTCCGACACTGCTCAAACCCATCTGCTGAAGTGAATTTAACTTGCTAGGGCTGCAAATTAAGTTCACACGTAAGTTTACCATTTAATCAACAGGTTCATCAAAAATTAGACAAAGTCTAACCCTTTTTAACTCAAAATACCCAGGATATGAAAAATATTTTGAGCTATAGTGCTGGAGTAACCACTGAATAGAGTGTACATTCATGTCAGCCACTAATTCAGTTAATGAGACTAACATACCAAACTGCGTGCAGTTGAAAATTACCTTACAGCTGACAAGAGCATGATATTTACCTGGGAATAAACCCAATGTCGCATCCTTCCTTTACTACTCTTCCAATCCACCAATCGTCATTGAATTTCTGCAAATAAAATTTGTTAAGAGATCAAATAAGTAAGGCTTTAGGGAATATTTTCAACACAAATATTAGCGAAAGAAATATACGACGTTTCGACATCTTCAGATGTCATTGCCAAGTAAATGTGTAGCTTAGTTTTTGCATCATAAAAGGATTTAAACAACTTCAGCTTAGAGGTCAAAGCAGGACTTGAGCCTGAGACTTACAGGTTTCAAGTTTGGAGCCCTAACCACTCAGCCAAGCTGCCATGCAGTATATCTTTTAAAAAGCTTACCTCTTTAACATGAAGAAAATCTTTGGCTTCAAATGAAACGGCTGCTCCGTGAACTGGAGAATCATCATCTGCACTTCCATCATAAGGAATGTTTGTTCTCACGGCAAATGCCACTTGCTTGGACTAAAGACAAGAATTTACAGCATGTAATGTAATGTCTGCTACAGACTGATGGTCATTTAGGACATGTTCTATTGGGATCAACTGTTAAGTCAGGTTGGTTGGGGTTTTAAAACTTTTTTTAGTTGGTTTGGTTGATCAACTTTTTCAAACAGCCTCGAACCAGGTTGAAATGGTGGAAAAAGCATTTGCATGATCATCGCACATGATTGTAGCTTGTGTAAGGACTATTCCCAGGAGTTACCGCATTTCAACCGAAATAGGTTGGAAAAGTGTTCTGTTGAGAAACATCAACTATATCAACCTAAACCGTTGGAGTTGAACAAGTTGATACCAATAGGAACACGACCTCGCTAACCTTGAATTATTGTATTAGTGACTAGTGTATTAGTGTGACGAGAAATCGGATGTTTATCAACACTGCAAGTTCTTCTTACCCGTGCTGCCTCAAGGGCCTCTAAAGCTCTCCTTTGCAAATCTCGTCGAGAGATCTCTCTCTCCTCTTCTAGACTGCTGGTGTCAGATGTTCGGCCACCGTCAATTTCCTGCAAAATATGTTACAAAATAGTTTGTAAGTGTTATTAACAAAAGTAACTATTAACTTTAGAAGATCAATAAGGCTTACAGTTGGAATAGTTTATGCTAGAACAAAGCAAAGCTTACCCCAGGGGAAAATAGCATGAAGTGATAAGAAGTACATTTAGCACTAATCCCTCTAAATTTGATACATGTACTGGTCTATCAAAACTAAGCAAGTCACCCCCCTCTGGTATTTTTTCAGGTTGCTCTAGCAGTTTGCCGATACCCATTTACACACCTGGGTGGGGGGAGAGAGAGAGACACTGCTCACCCCATGGATCAGAAATGTTTAAATCTAATTTGAAAGTCAAAGCCAAACTCAGACATCAAACTCCACTATGGATGTAGCTTCTTAAACTAATCAAGTGTAATTGTCTAGGCAAGAGTGTTCCCAATAATACTACATACAGAACCTAGAAGGTATTAGACCTTTCCCAGCCAAATGGAAAATGTTCATCCCGCAATACACATAAGTGTATGTGTAATGAATACTCATAATTAATCATAAGTCAAGACAAAAACTTAAAGAGAACTCCATCGTTGGAAATAATCATTTGCCAAAGGCCGGATATACAGTAGTTGCTGCAACTAAACATTGCACCAACTGTAGAGAGGATTTAATGGAACTATAATCATTATAACTTTATACCGCTACTCTCTAATGATAACACAATCACACACCATACTGTACAAATGAACTGATGTTTTTATAATAATATTCTTTTTCAGTAAAATGCTTTTGTTTCTGTCGAGCAGAGAATCATATCTAACCGCTTTTAATAAAGAGAATTAGTGGCTTGGAAACCACTACAGGCCAACAGTGTGTTTCATTTTTTATTCACATGGACTCAAAATTTTGCAACTATATACTGAATAAATCAAAATAACCCACTGATCAAAAGCTTCAAGGTAATTAAAAAAAAAAACAGGAAAAAAATACACTACAAATAATCCAATCACAATGTACAAAATACCAAAGCATGTATGTTTAAAGCTATCAGCAAATGTTAAAAATGCATGTTTGACATATGCAGTATTTATAACAATTTGAAATAAGAGAAAAAATATATGCATTTCTACCAAAGTGTGACATCAATCTGCAACATAAGCATTATTTTATTACGTTACACAATTCAGAGTTGAGTATTTCTTTTTTTGCATTCACTGCCTAACTGAACAAACTGTAAAATACTTAATATGCATGGCCATAATTTTTGAGAAATCAAACAATATTATGCATGTTGCTTTAGAACAACATTCAAATAACTTGTCAATTAATGCAACATAAATATTTCAAATTAGCATCATAGGACTGTGTGTAGCATTTATTGTAACGAGGACACCTCAAATATTTCACATAAACCTTATTTTTTTACAAGAAAATACAGCTACAGTTTACAGTCACCCTCAACATCCACAACATGACACAACCCAAGTACACACAAAATAATATTTATTGACACTTTCAGTGCCTCAAAGTGAAAACAAACAAATATTCTTTCTCAATACAAAGATTTTCACACCATTTGCTGGAGAATACCTTAAAAATCACAAGTATTGAGCTGGATCTAAAAGCTTGCACCTAATGTTGCTAGTCAGTTTAAAACCCATATCAATATAAAATGAATAAATTTCTCATTCAATGATCTCAATCAACCGTAGCAAAACACACTTCAAGTTGCACTTCAAATTGAAAAACAAAACCAACTATAATGATGTTTGCAACGCTGTGAAATAAATTCTTTTAGTTCTTAAACGTCTTCAGTAAAAAGACATTGCCATGCAGCAAGACGAAAGTACAACAAGCTCTGACTCACCCAGTCATGAAGCAACATACTGGCTTCTGAAGAATAATTTGATGTACAGCCCAGACAATAAAGATTGTATAACCCGTCTCCCTTATAAGCAGCACCAACTGGGATACTGCTGTCTTCTTTAAAACCAAACATGCATCATCACATAAACTGGACCATTCTTTCTGCCGTCTGACTTCACTTTTATCCAAATGTCCTCGCACAAATTTTGAACATAGAATACACACCGTAGATTCAAGTTGAGAGATTCCAATTTTTATCACAGTTTGTTTAGCACTTCCTTTGAAATAATAGGAGGCAGATTTTTCAAGTTAACAGATATTATTCAACTTGAGCCACAGCAAACCAAGACAACAATGGTTATTCCACGTTCTTTCAAAAGAATCTACATGTATTACAATTTTCATTTCGACAAATCACAAGGCACAGTGGGCAAAACAAAAAACTGAAGCTTAATTAACAGATGTGAATCATCACCTATTTAATATTTACAAGGGAACTTTCAGCAGCCTTCTTAAAAACAAATTCAAAGTAAATTGGAGAAGAAAGTGATATTTTCTTGTGCTAAGAACTGCTTAATTCTTACTGTTAGCTTAAACTTGATATGACTTCAGAGGAAAATACACCACTAAAAGTCTTATAATCAGCCCAGCCTATCTTCAGCATCAATTATTGATCAGCTCCCAACCTTGTGAATTGTAATTTGGGGCTTGTCTGGAATTAATATAAAACTCCTAAATGTTTTATGTGGATGGAAAAATACATGACAAAATAATTCTTTGCTCCCATGATAGGTAGCACTCTTTCATCCTAACACTCTAAATAATTTGTATTTCCCATTTGACTAGCTAAATTTCACACATCTATAGCTTTTTTTAACCATAAATACAGTGCAAACACTATCTTTGTATACACACTGAATGTATTTATGATAAACATTTTCCCACATTCTCTATCGATGGGCTTTCCGGTGTTAAATCTTTCTTACAAGTTTCACAATAATGTCAAGGAATCCTCAAGAATGAAATCTCTTAACAAACTTTTGCTTACAACAGCGCCTTCTACAGAAATGGCATAATTTATGTTAACAATGCTGGAATATGTCATAAATATTTCATTTAACGTGCTTCAGTGTTAGTGTAAAGATTTCTGGAAGTCAAAAATTTCATGATTGTAAAATAAACTCCACTTGATAGCATTATAAACCAACTTTGGAATGAAAATAAACTGGAAATAAATGATCTTTAAACTACCCATAAATGGCTTCATAGTCTGTAAACTACATNTCTGAAGTAGGAAAGTTGTCTTGCCTAAGATAACAAAGCAGTACAATGAGATTGTCAATTTGTACCTGTCACACTGAAGGATAAATTTGTCTGTTAGTCGAGCATTCTTACTACATGTAGTCCAGAGGTTTCATTAATGTTTACAGCAGGGTGGCAACTGCTTTTCACGGGCAGGCAAAACTATTTGAACTGAACTTCTTTCTAAGAAAAACTTTCCACTAGAAGGTCAAACAAGGCTGGCAAAATCGTTCTTGCAGCCCGTCAATTTGCCTCGTATCTGGCCCTTAATGAAAATCCTGGTAGTTGCTCTAAATTAGTCAAAAATACAATATAAATAGTTACTACTTACTTTGTCCTGATGTTGATGACTGCCTGGAGGGTGATGTATTTGTTGGAGATTGTGCTTGATTCATCATTCCCTCAAACTGAAAGACACTACCAGACCTACTAAAAAGATACCACAAACAAAACAAAAATCACAAAAATTGTATTCATATTATTTCAAATATCTTTAAAAAATAATAATAATAAAGACTTGTAAACTTCACATAACAACAACAATGTTCAACATCAACAGGATAGAATTACCACTCTTACCTTGTAGCTGTTTTACTTCCTTTTCCTCCGACACTGCTCAAACCCATCTGCTGAAGTGAATTTAACTTGCTAGGGCTGCAAATTAAGTTCACACGTAAGTTTACCATTTAATCAACAGGTTCATCAAAAATTAGACAAAGTCTAACCCTTTTTAACTCAAAATACCCAGGATATGAAAAATATTTTGAGCTATAGTGCTGGAGTAACCACTGAATAGAGTGTACATTCATGTCAGCCACTAATTCAGTTAATGAGACTAACATACCAAACTGCGTGCAGTTGAAAATTACCTTACAGCTGACAAGAGCATGATATTTACCTGGGAATAAACCCAATGTCGCATCCTTCCTTTACTACTCTTCCAATCCACCAATCGTCATTGAATTTCTGCAAATAAAATTTGTTAAGAGATCAAATAAGTAAGGCTTTAGGGAATATTTTCAACACAAATATTAGCGAAAGAAATATACGACGTTTCGACATCTTCAGATGTCATTGCCAAGTAAATGTGTAGCTTAGTTTTTGCATCATAAAAGGATTTAAACAACTTCAGCTTAGAGGTCAAAGCAGGACTTGAGCCTGAGACTTACAGGTTTCAAGTTTGGAGCCCTAACCACTCAGCCAAGCTGCCATGCAGTATATCTTTTAAAAAGCTTACCTCTTTAACATGAAGAAAATCTTTGGCTTCAAATGAAACGGCTGCTCCGTGAACTGGAGAATCATCATCTGCACTTCCATCATAAGGAATGTTTGTTCTCACGGCAAATGCCACTTGCTTGGACTAAAGACAAGAATTTACAGCATGTAATGTAATGTCTGCTACAGACTGATGGTCATTTAGGACATGTTCTATTGGGATCAACTGTTAAGTCAGGTTGGTTGGGGTTTTAAAACTTTTTTTAGTTGGTTTGGTTGATCAACTTTTTCAAACAGCCTCGAACCAGGTTGAAATGGTGGAAAAAGCATTTGCATGATCATCGCACATGATTGTAGCTTGTGTAAGGACTATTCCCAGGAGTTACCGCATTTCAACCGAAATAGGTTGGAAAAGTGTTCTGTTGAGAAACATCAACTATATCAACCTAAACCGTTGGAGTTGAACAAGTTGATACCAATAGGAACACGACCTCGCTAACCTTGAATTATTGTATTAGTGACTAGTGTATTAGTGTGACGAGAAATCGGATGTTTATCAACACTGCAAGTTCTTCTTACCCGTGCTGCCTCAAGGGCCTCTAAAGCTCTCCTTTGCAAATCTCGTCGAGAGATCTCTCTCTCCTCTTCTAGACTGCTGGTGTCAGATGTTCGGCCACCGTCAATTTCCTGCAAAATATGTTACAAAATAGTTTGTAAGTGTTATTAACAAAAGTAACTATTAACTTTAGAAGATCAATAAGGCTTACAGTTGGAATAGTTTATGCTAGAACAAAGCAAAGCTTACCCCAGGGGAAAATAGCATGAAGTGATAAGAAGTACATTTAGCACTAATCCCTCTAAATTTGATACATGTACTGGTCTATCAAAACTAAGCAAGTCACCCCCCTCTGGTATTTTTTCAGGTTGCTCTAGCAGTTTGCCGATACCCATTTACACACCTGGGTGGGGGGAGAGAGAGAGACACTGCTCACCCCATGGATCAGAAATGTTTAAATCTAATTTGAAAGTCAAAGCCAAACTCAGACATCAAACTCCACTATGGATGTAGCTTCTTAAACTAATCAAGTGTAATTGTCTAGGCAAGAGTGTTCCCAATAATACTACATACAGAACCTAGAAGGTATTAGACCTTTCCCAGCCAAATGGAAAATGTTCATCCCGCAATACACATAAGTGTATGTGTAATGAATACTCATAATTAATCATAAGTCAAGACAAAAACTTAAAGAGAACTCCATCGTTGGAAATAATCATTTGCCAAAGGCCGGATATACAGTAGTTGCTGCAACTAAACATTGCACCAACTGTAGAGAGGATTTAATGGAACTATAATCATTATAACTTTATACCGCTACTCTCTAATGATAACACAATCACACACCATACTGTACAAATGAACTGATGTTTTTATAATAATATTCTTTTTCAGTAAAATGCTTTTGTTTCTGTCGAGCAGAGAATCATATCTAACCGCTTTTAATAAAGAGAATTAGTGGCTTGGAAACCACTACAGGCCAACAGTGTGTTTCATTTTTTATTCACATGGACTCAAAATTTTGCAACTATATACTGAATAAATCAAAATAACCCACTGATCAAAAGCTTCAAGGTAATTAAAAAAAAAAACAGGAAAAAAATACACTACAAATAATCCAATCACAATGTACAAAATACCAAAGCATGTATGTTTAAAGCTATCAGCAAATGTTAAAAATGCATGTTTGACATATGCAGTATTTATAACAATTTGAAATAAGAGAAAAAATATATGCATTTCTACCAAAGTGTGACATCAATCTGCAACATAAGCATTATTTTATTACGTTACACAATTCAGAGTTGAGTATTTCTTTTTTTGCATTCACTGCCTAACTGAACAAACTGTAAAATACTTAATATGCATGGCCATAATTTTTGAGAAATCAAACAATATTATGCATGTTGCTTTAGAACAACATTCAAATAACTTGTCAATTAATGCAACATAAATATTTCAAATTAGCATCATAGGACTGTGTGTAGCATTTATTGTAACGAGGACACCTCAAATATTTCACATAAACCTTATTTTTTTACAAGAAAATACAGCTACAGTTTACAGTCACCCTCAACATCCACAACATGACACAACCCAAGTACACACAAAATAATATTTATTGACACTTTCAGTGCCTCAAAGTGAAAACAAACAAATATTCTTTCTCAATACAAAGATTTTCACACCATTTGCTGGAGAATACCTTAAAAATCACAAGTATTGAGCTGGATCTAAAAGCTTGCACCTAATGTTGCTAGTCAGTTTAAAACCCATATCAATATAAAATGAATAAATTTCTCATTCAATGATCTCAATCAACCGTAGCAAAACACACTTCAAGTTGCACTTCAAATTGAAAAACAAAACCAACTATAATGATGTTTGCAACGCTGTGAAATAAATTCTTTTAGTTCTTAAACGTCTTCAGTAAAAAGACATTGCCATGCAGCAAGACGAAAGTACAACAAGCTCTGACTCACCCAGTCATGAAGCAACATACTGGCTTCTGAAGAATAATTTGATGTACAGCCCAGACAATAAAGATTGTATAACCCGTCTCCCTTATAAGCAGCACCAACTGGGATACTGCTGTCTTCTTTAAAACCAAACATGCATCATCACATAAACTGGACCATTCTTTCTGCCGTCTGACTTCACTTTTATCCAAATGTCCTCGCACAAATTTTGAACATAGAATACACACCGTAGATTCAAGTTGAGAGATTCCAATTTTTATCACAGTTTGTTTAGCACTTCCTTTGAAATAATAGGAGGCAGATTTTTCAAGTTAACAGATATTATTCAACTTGAGCCACAGCAAACCAAGACAACAATGGTTATTCCACGTTCTTTCAAAAGAATCTACATGTATTACAATTTTCATTTCGACAAATCACAAGGCACAGTGGGCAAAACAAAAAACTGAAGCTTAATTAACAGATGTGAATCATCACCTATTTAATATTTACAAGGGAACTTTCAGCAGCCTTCTTAAAAACAAATTCAAAGTAAATTGGAGAAGAAAGTGATATTTTCTTGTGCTAAGAACTGCTTAATTCTTACTGTTAGCTTAAACTTGATATGACTTCAGAGGAAAATACACCACTAAAAGTCTTATAATCAGCCCAGCCTATCTTCAGCATCAATTATTGATCAGCTCCCAACCTTGTGAATTGTAATTTGGGGCTTGTCTGGAATTAATATAAAACTCCTAAATGTTTTATGTGGATGGAAAAATACATGACAAAATAATTCTTTGCTCCCATGATAGGTAGCACTCTTTCATCCTAACACTCTAAATAATTTGTATTTCCCATTTGACTAGCTAAATTTCACACATCTATAGCTTTTTTTAACCATAAATACAGTGCAAACACTATCTTTGTATACACACTGAATGTATTTATGATAAACATTTTCCCACATTCTCTATCGATGGGCTTTCCGGTGTTAAATCTTTCTTACAAGTTTCACAATAATGTCAAGGAATCCTCAAGAATGAAATCTCTTAACAAACTTTTGCTTACAACAGCGCCTTCTACAGAAATGGCATAATTTATGTTAACAATGCTGGAATATGTCATAAATATTTCATTTAATGTGCTTCAGTGTTAGTGTAAAGATTTCTGGAAGTCAAAAATTTCATGATTGTAAAATAAACTCCACTTGATAGCATTATAAACCAACTTTGGAATGAAAATAAACTGGAAATAAATGATCTTTAAACTACCCATAAATGGCTTCATAGTCTGTAAACTACATTACTTTGTATTTAAGAATAAAGAACTTTGAATTCCATTGCCTACTTTCTAGTGTAAGAGGGATATAAGCTAGCTAATATGATATGAAAAAAAGAACTTTTTTAATGACCAACATACTATTGTAGAGTGCATAATTACCACGACTAATAATAAATAATATAACTAAAACAATTTAAAGTGAAAATTCAGTGTGTGAGTTTTTACTACAGGAAAAACTATTTATAACCTTTAACAGATTTGTTTAGTGCTGTAATCACTGACATAGTCAAACAATTCTGAATAAATCCTATACAGTATTGTGCTTCAAAATTACATGTCTATACAATTAAGTGCATTAAACATCATGTCTCACAGACCAACAGACAGACAGACAGACACTCAGCCAAAACAGAGTGAAAGACAAACAGACAAAAAGACTGATTGACTGAAAGACACCCAGACCAGTAAGAAGACAGTGGGCCAGGACACGCAGACATGCCAATGAGGAGTTTATTCTATGAACCTTACTGACCAAGTGCAAGGGCCTTACTAAGAGAATATGGGAGTGAGGTCTTGACAGTATTTACAGACTGAGCACGGTAAGGTCTATCCAAAAAAGACCAAATGCTGATATTCTCCCATTGCCGTCTCAACCAAGCTTGCTTATAAGAGATTTATCACATGACTGAAATGTTTACAAAAAAATCCCACAATCATGGACTGGAAAGACACTGTAAACTTCTAGTCTGCAATTCTGAAATTCAACTTCAGTTGGCATTTTCTTGTTTTTGGTGTTCTCAAAAGAAAAGAAGGACAAGAGAATTAGAAGAAACAGAAACAGAATTTGTTTTGGGTACATTAACTCTTTTGGGAAACTGAGTAAGCCACAAAAGAACCAGAAAATCACCAAAAGTGGCAGCGAGCGATCATTTGGAACAGTGCCCTGTCTAATACGTAGTCAATATTGGAGCAAGGTTCCTGATTGGTCAATTTTTAGTTATTGGTCCTCTGAACTTGTTTGTTAATAGAAAGATACACTGACTGACAGTTAGATGCAGACAACCTAACAGCTAGCCAGGCAGACTGTCAGACCAACAACAGAAAGATAGAAATCCTAAAAGTTAGCTAGATTTTCAATTGTGTGTAACCATTATTATGAGGCCTGTGGATTCCCAGAATACCCAAAGCTCTACATAGTGAAATGCATACATCTTTATGCCTAGCAGTACTACAATATTTTTATCTAACAAGTCACACTTTACTTTAGGAGTCCACATGGTTGTCAAACTGCTTGGTCAAGAACAAATATCATGAGGCTACAGTAGGCTGTGGTCTAAGAAAAATTACGAGGAGCCCAAAGGTTCCTAACCATGAAATCCTGGGTGCCCAGCACTTGGCTTATTTGAAAAAAGTAAGTTTTTCCAGTCGTCCAAAGGAAAAAAACATTAGTCACCTATGACACCCAGATGCATCATGTGCACAGCCCTGATGTGTTACTAAATACAAAGATAATTCAACCAGTAATTCTTAATTTCATAATTATCCAGAATTCTACCTGATTTCTTTTCTCATGACAGGTTGAAGAACAAAGAACCAATAGCAAATAATTGTCTGTGTTACCTAGAGTCATTTGTGCCTTTAATTACTGAGTTTAAGTGGACGACATAAAGTTTTTAAGCCCAGAGTAACATTGCAAAAAACAACAGTTAACAAAACAGAGGCATCAAAATTCCTTTTCATGACTTGCATGGACAATTTATCTGATAGGTACAGGTGAAACACAAAGGGTACATTTTATAAATTTATCACATGCCAGCTGAATAACATATAAATCAGGTAATGTGAAGTACCAATCATCTAGATACATGTACAACTGTAGAACTATCTAT